GTACTATGCATTTGACTCGATGCACTTGACTCGATGTACTTCACTCTGATGTACTTCACTCTGTGTACTTACTCTGAAGGGCTCCGCACGGAAGAACCCTGCGCGAAGGTTTCGGGAAAAATCCTCCTTGTAGGATTTTGGAGGCTCGGGCAGGTTCGTGTCCCAACGAAGCTTCGCTGAGGAGATGGAGGAGGCTGCCTGCCTGCGGCCCCAACAGGCGGCATGGTGGCGGGCTGGGACTAGGGAAAAAGTGTTCTCATGCTTCTTCTGAAAGGGGATGGAGACGCAACACGACTCAACCAGGGCTGAGCGGACGGTGTGGGTTTTCGACTCCGATCTCTTGGGGGTGTCGGGGTTCCGACAACCTTTTGGGTGCCGAGCACCGAAAAATCTTCCGAATGGGCTTGTGAACCCTGGACTGCTGGGACTTCGGTGTTTTGTGCTTCTTTCGGCGAAGATTTGCGGCCGAAGCTTTTCATTTTGGAAGCATGCATTTTCTGTTTCAGGAGCTTTTCACTGCCTAGTAGTGTTTTGCCATACTTCCGACTTTCGCTGTTTTGCCCGGGCATCCCTCTTCCTCGACGGCGGCAGGTGCCAGACTTCCTTGCCAAGGCCGGGTCCAAGAACGTGGTAGAGACTGTCAGGACACTGACCAACTAAGGAACTAAGGATGCCCCAAAGCTTTTCGCGGCAGTCTGCTCTTTTTGAGGCCGTGGCCGAGGCCTCCGCGGCTGTGCTGGGCGCTGGCGTTAGTTCTGCGCAAGGTGCCGTGGCCCCGCAGCTCGGGCCTATGGTTTATGCGGGCGTTGCGCCCGCGGGTTCGTGGAAGCGCGGTGCATCGTGTCAGTGTACCTGAAGCAACGTCTGGCATGTGGCTTGCGAGGTTGTGATTTTTCAAAGGCAGCTTGTTCCCACGATTCTTTTGGAGACAAAAGCTTTGATTTCATCCTTTCTACGTAGGTCATCTGCGGAGCCTCATTCGTGAAACGGCGCCGCCTCGGAGTCTCCGAGGAATGGCAAGCCGCAACTGCTTGTCTGCGTGAAGAGCGCGCTCGACGGGTATGACCGGAGTGCCACTTGAGAAAGACGGTTTTGAAGCGGTTCTCGTCTCTAGGGGCACGACTCTAGGCATGTTGCGATCCGAAGTCTCCATGGAGGCTCCCTGAAGGGACAGACGAGTTGCAGGACGCTTTGAAAGGTTTCCCCAATGGCATGTGGTTCACTTCAGGAAGGGTGAGCAGCCCGACCTAATGACCCACGGCACAGCCAGTCACTGGTGAGCTTTCTGGGCATCTGAGGCCATGGCTGTGGCGCTGAGCGCAGCTTGCCTGTGATGTTTTGGTTTGGCCACAGCATGTCACAGACGCCGATTTCGTGACCTGGTGCCCATGATCTGTCCACGATTCAGCCGGCATGTGCCGAGGCCTTACTGGATGTGGACGTTCGTGTGCATCGTCACGGCGTGGCGGTGAACTTGGACGACAGGTGGGATCCAGACACGGAGCAAGGATTGAAAGGTCGAAGCCTGCCCAAACGGATGCGAAGTGAGACGCACCCCCTGTGCCCTGCACGTGGAAGGCTTTGAGGGTCCCAGAGACGGGTCCCGGGCTGCATCGGGCTGCACATGGCTGCACAGGATGGACGTGGAAATTCTTCTGGAGACGGCTGAGGAGCAGTGCAAGCGCAGAAGCCGAGGCAGGGGCACTGGCGTCCGACTTCGGTTGAGGCTCTGGATGAGTATGGGGCCATGCATTCTGGGATAGAGGCCTTAGAGACCTTTAGGTTTTAGGCCATATGACATTGAAACATAAACAATCCTACAAGAAGCATGAGAAAGACTCTAAGAGAACTACCACAAGAAAAGGAAAACCACCCATCCAAGCCGCGGGAAGCAGGAGATTGGCCTCTAAGGTTAAAGCAAACAGGTAACCATATTGGAAGATTGATTATGACTCCAATCAGAGTACGAAAAGGCTACCAAGTCCCACTGTACGACCCTTAACGTAGCATTCGAGCATCGAAAAGATGGAGAGCTCTCTGTGGCGTCGTAGTTGAGGCCCTCGCAGCCTCTTCGCTATCTCCTATCTTACGGTGGCGGAGGACTGGGACGAAGCCGTGCCTCGGAGAAGAAGCGGAGTGGCCGGCAGAGATCTAGAGGTGAGCATCTGGAGAAAAATGGGAACCAAGGACCGACGTGGCGAGGCAGCGGGCGACTGTTGCAGGGGCAGTTGGGAGTTGTGGCGTTTTTCTTGGGGAGATCTCTATTTTTTAGCAGGAGCTGGTCCGCGCCAGCCCGCAGATGTCCTGGGCCATCGCGCTCTCCCGCCGCTTCTGCTCCATCGGGCGACTGCCAGGCCGGAGGTCGAAGGAGGCGTATGCTCCGCGTATGCGCGTTCCTTTACCCAGGGCTCCGGATGAACGGCCACCGTGCCGGCAAGGGACCCCAGGCCGGCACGGCGATGGCCACAGTGTCCACAGCGCAAAGTGCAGTGAACAGGTCATGGAAATGGTCTTGCGAAATCTGGCGCTGCGGATCAAGGCGGCAGGGACATGCAGGGACCATGCGACGGGGTCATCAGTCGTCGGGTCTGCGTCTGCATACAAGCTGTACAGCTGAACCGACAGAGAGGATGGTCACCGCGAGCTTCCACTTGGTCCCTGGAACTCAGCGGTGTCTCAACGAGATACTCTGACTGATACGCCCCCAAACAAAATGTGCCTTTCATCCCGACTGCGAGGCCTTGACAGTCCGCTCAACCTGCTGTTATCTGCTCTAGTCCCGAATAATCCATCTGGAGATGGCCGACAGCCGTAAACCCTGAAACCGAAAGCTTTCAGCAGATCAGCGGTTATCGATGCGCGAGGATCGGGATGCAGAGACACTGAAGCGCTTCGAGCAGGCCTTGGCAGTGTCGAACACCCAGGACCTGGCTTCCTCTCCTCTTCCGCCTCTTCTTGGGCCCTCTCGGGGTCCTCGCCCCTATGGTCTGGACTGCACCCTGTGCCACAGGACCACGCGGTCGGTACGCGCCTGGTGGTCAGCATGGCCAAGGCAAGTCTGAATCTTCCGGAAAATGTTCAAACGGCATCACCGTCTTCCCAGGAGGTTCTCGAGTGGAGCAAGTCCGGGCCTCTGGGCTTGTGGCTGAAGGACTCAGCCTTTCCGCTGAAGTGCCGTAGCGGTAGCGGCTTAGCGAGTGTACTTGGATCAGTAGCGGCAGACTTGGATTCCACAGGATGCAGAGCTCTATGCCGGAGAGAAAGGTCGGAATCAAGCATCAGCGCTGCTACGCATCCCTGCTCAAATTGTTGCATGCGGCTTTTATTCCAGGTCGGTTCCAGGGACGCTTCCTTGAACTTCGGTGTGTTCCTGCTTGGGGTGCAGCTGCTAGTTGGCAGCGCGAGTAGGAAGGTTGCTGTCATACAAAGCGCAACTCCCAAGTTCAACACACTTGCATCATCTTGCAGCTTCTGCTTTTGCATCCCATCTGCTGGGCTCAGGTGCAGCCGCTGACAGCCTGGACGGCGAGGCGACTGCGTTTCACGTGCGTCGCATTGGGTCGCTGTGTGGGCTCCGGCTCTGCTCGGCTCTGCTGCGCTCCGGCTCTGCTCCTCTTGCTCCTGCACCGGCCACGGGCCCCTGGAAAGCACTGCCTCGCACTGCTTCGAAGGTGCGAGGCCTCGGCCACACGCAGAGCTTCCGGATTCCGCGTGCTGAGGATGCCGCGGGGACTCATGAAGCACTTTCCTTTCTATCAAGTGATATCAAGCGATAATATCGTACGTGGATGATGGTTTTGCCGGATTGGGCGGGAGCACGATTGTCTCGCTTTGCTGCCAAGGACAGCCCCGCAGCTGCAGTCGACCGCAGCATCACGAAAGGTCGGGTGTGTCGGCTTTGTAGCACGGGGGTCGTGTGCCTCCGACGCGAAGCTTGGAGGCGTGCGCCTGGTGCATTTCGGCTGCTTCGAGCAGGCGCAGGAGCAGCTGGACGAGGCGAGCAGTCAAAAGCAACAGAATTTGAGGCCATTTTCAGCCTGCCCTTTCTTAGTCCGAAGTGTGAGGCTCGGCTTCGCCTTCAGCAGCAGCACTTCGAGGAGGAGCCGCTGCAGTCCACGGTGCTTTGCTGCTTTGATTCTAGAATCCCTAAATCCTCTCTTCCCAGGGGGCCCGCGAGAGTTTGACGCTCGCAGCTTGCCTGGCCTCCTCGCTGCTGCAGCAGAAGCGACTCTGTCCCCGATGGCAGCGTTAAAAGTTCGGTGGATATGTGGTCTATGTTTCTCTGTGTCTCTGTGTGTGTGTGTGTGGGTCCGAGGAAGGGCCGGAACGATCTCGTGAAGGAGCTGAAAGCGGAGTGCACGCAGGCGCCTGGCGATGCCTGGCCTTCTGAGGCCTGAGAGCCTGAGATCCGGTTGTGCTTGACAGTCGCTCCACCGTCTGGAAGCCACCACGAAGCGACCCAAGCCCGTGGCATGCCCGTGGCTTAGGGTGCGAGCGGTGAAGTCGGCAGTGGCAGCGAAGCCTTTACAGAGCCTTTGCCGAGCCTTTGCCGAGGCTGGCACAACTTGCCACTGCTGCTTCGGGTGTTGCCATCGTCCAAGAGGCCGGCCAAGATTTTCGAGGGTAACGGCGAAGGAACTTCTCGGCTGAAACTCATAGACCGAGGCCCTCGAGTCCCATGGCACAGCGCGGCCCGACTGCTATGGCACCGTCTGACCATACTGAGCTGTGGCTTCTCTCCCTGAGCTCTTCACTCCGTTCTCCCGAGGCCACGGAGACTTGGACTGGTCGGGCATGGAATGCACAGGCCCGCCCTGCTCTTTGAACCCCGAGGGGCCGCAGGGGGCATCGAGAGCTGGGGAGGGTGCCGAGGTGCGTTGGATTCCGACGTCCTCGAGGACCTACCGGATTCAGGCCGCCCAGGGAATTGGATGGTGGTCGTGCTGGTGTTTGCTGCTGGCTGCGGCTCTCGTTGGATGGAACCGGAGCGAAGGTTGCAGGGACCGGTTTTCAGCACTCCCCCGAAGGCCTCCAGCGCCGGGTCCGTGCACGTAGCCGCCACCTGATGAGCTCGGCACCCAGCCTGTCCCAGAGTTTTCCATTTTCGACATGCGTTCCATGCCTTCCGCTGTGCGTAAGGTTACCTCATGCCTCTCACAGGCCATTGGGGGGCATGGCGGAGCCTTGTTTTGAAAGGACTACAGGTTCGCTGGGCAGGCCGCTTCTTCGTGTAGTGGTCGTGGAACCATTAAATCGACAGGCGAACGCTTCGCATCAGATGCTTTGGAGGCCGACGGTTCTGCGCTTTGGTAATAGTGGACAAGGGCACCATGGTGTGCTCCGAACAAGGATTTCGGAGGTGAGCACTGAAGCGCCAGGTGCACCGCATCGAGGCTGGCTTGGCGAAAGCGTTGTGCTGACGGTACGTCCCGGGGTGATGGCCGTGGAGATGGGAGATGTTGAATGTAGAGTGTAAACCAAATTGCACAGTGCGAGAACGGCCACAGCCTGCTTAGCTAGCGCGAGCATGACCCGATCTGCCGGGTGAGCTTCCACGGCCGGGTCACGCTGCTTCAGCCCAGGCCATGCCCCAAAGCTGCGGTAATTGATCCAACTCCTTCCAAGTCCAACTGCCATTCGACCCTTCTCGCCTCCCACCTAGAAACTATGTATGCCGGGACCCAGCATCGAAATCTGTTGAATCCTCCGTTGTTCTTCTGATGGAATTGTATGGAGTTGAAGATTCCTTGACAGGGATAGAGCATAGATTCGACAGAGCATAGATATTGAAAACCATCGACGAAGCTTGCTTTCAACTCGACCTGTCTGCGGTGGCAAGCCACCTAGAGCAACTGTAGCAGTAAGCGCCGGCCAGACTTTGAGAGTTCCGAGGGTGACTCGATTTGCACAGGGGGACGCCTGAGGGCTTTCTTTATGGCACCGGTTCCTACACGGAGCTGCACGGTTTCTGCACTGCCGAAGCTGGCGGTGCTGCCCTGTCACTTCTCTGGCCTGCTGGTGACGGGGTACGTTCTGGGCTTCTTGTCTAGCCTGCATGGTGCAGGCGGAATAGTGGCTATTACGCACCGGACGGTCTGACTCGAGTCTCCCATGGACAAGATAGGTATTTGCAGAATTTGCAGCCCTCAACAACTGTAGATGGCAGTACTGTGGCTGAGATTGCAGTGGCTTCTTCGTGTAGTATGTGTAGTCAAGCTCGCACCAAAGTATAAGTATTCTGTTGATCCGCTCTGTGAGAATCTCTGGCAGGGGTTTGCTGCACTTGTGGCCTCATGGGGCTCTGAACACGGGATCCGATGTTGGGAACGATCTCTTGCACCACTGCGGCGCTATGATAGCCTTGACTCTAATGGTAGAGCATGCAAGAGATGCTTATGCGCGAGATTTGACGAGCACCGCAAACTTGCTTGTGGGTTGAGGCTTCCAGAGGCAGGAGTCTTGGCTGTCCATAGAAGGATCGCCTCATGCAGAGGCATGCTATCGGACTTAGTCCGGGACCGGTTGCAAGTGCAACGCGGTGCAGCGGTGCCTAGGCTTCTGGACCCGGCCCGGATGATTGGTTTCTGGAGCTCAACAGTAGCTCCCAGGTTGCTGTACATTGCACACATGTCAAGGTGGCGCTCATCTGGCTAGTGTCTGAGGCAGCAAGCAAAACAAACACACACACACACATGTGTGTGTATATATATATATAATATTATATTATATATATATACACACACACACCCTGTCTGTTTCTGAGAAGCTCCTGGAGTCTTTGCTCGCTCCTTCACCGGCACTGCCCCCGCCACATGCATCGCAGAAGGATGACCTGGGGACACGTGGGATTGTCTCCAGAGTCTGCTTGAGCTGTGCGTTGTTGTCCATGTTCTCAGTGGAAATCCGGCGGTCCGAGAGTGTAGCAGAAAGCAGCTTGCAAATCTAGAACAATGGGTCCGAACTCTTGTGTAGTGCTTCGGCGATGGCTTGGGAGACGTTAACGGACAGCTCATATACCTTGTGATCACTTCCTGTACAAAGCTGATGTCTTTAGTTATCTTCCTCGGGAGAAGGGGAACGATCAGAAGCCAATGAAGACCTTGCCGCAAGATCGGTTCCCTTTCCCGATGCCCATGCACGAGGAGTGACTAGCCGACAGGAGTGGGGCTCCAGGCTGAGCTCACGGCATCTCGAGGCCCAACTCCTACTCTGGCCACCTTCTTGCGCTGGGGTTTTTAGAGGATGGCCCAGCCCCTGGGTGCAGCCAGCCAGGGCACAGAAGGACATCTCGGGCACGAGTTGCCCTTGGTGGCCTTCTGTCGTGCTGAGATGCGCCACAGGCGGACAGACAATGATTCGAAGACTGCCTTCAGCTCGAATCCAAGTGTGTATCAGGGTGAAGCCACGTCATTGACTTGTTGCCGCCGGCGCCGTCCTGTAATTGATTAATCTGTTCTGAGTTCTGCCAGTGCGATGAATTCGCTAGCATGTCCTCAAGTTGACAAGCGGAAAAGTTAAGAATGCCCTCTCTCCTTGCCTCCCGGCTAGTTGTTTGTGAACGAGCTGATGCTGTTTGGATTGCGACGTCCAGACGATGTATGAAGATGTAAGAACAGATGATTGCCTGGGATATGCTGGCTCAACATGCGCAAGCATTAGGCATGCAGAAAGGTAGCTCAGGGGCGCAGGCAAGTGTATCGAGTCGTTGTTATACTGATATAGAGCACATGCAGCGCAACTAGAGAGCTAAGCTGCAGTTCCTGCAACGCCGCCTCGGACTCGAAGGTGCAGTGCAGGCAGCGATATAGTTTGCATTGCTGGATTGCTTACCTGGACTCTTCTTTCCTCAAAGTGTGCCTGCTTCAGCAATACGCTGTCAGTGCTTCCCAGGAAGATGAGCTCGCCTCGTCGCAAGTCTGGGGAGGACACGGGGCTAAGGGTGATGTTGCTTCGTCGAAACTTCCAAAACCCTCAGTCGTCAGGAGGGCCACTGCCAGTCAGAGTCCCAGGAGATCGGGCCGAAATGGAGATTCCAGTCTTTTCATGTGGTGCCTGGTTATGAGTTCCAGATTTTTCCAGTGCATAGTTGCGTTGAGGGCAATGATGCTGTACCTTTGAATTTCCGGTGGTCAGCTGAGTGAACTGAAGGCATTTGCTCCAGCGTAACAGCTTTGGGAATGATCAGAGAGTGCTAGGTGAAACGTGCCTTTTCATCAATGGTGCTTGTGTGGCCAGAAGTAGGAGAGAACAAAAGTGCGGTGGCACGAAACGAAGACACATCTTACCAAATGTCAGATTAAGTGACCCACAGAATATTAAGGTCATGCAAACTCAATGACTTATTGACAGCCGTGCAAGATCCAACCTTGTACCAGTCACTAGTCCATCCGCAGAGAAATCTCGTGAGGTATTTTCTTCTCTCTCCGCGCCCGCCCGGAACTCGGTCTGCGGCTTGTGCTCCAAGGCCCTGCAGAAGTGCGGAAGATCCGCATCCCATCGTGTTTTCTGCAGATGTGGCATCTCGGACTAGCATTGCCTGGCATCCTGGAGGCTGAGAATGCGCTCGCCGCGCACGCCGAAGTCCCGCGAGGCTGGCCCGACAAAGGAGGGCTCCAAGCGGAGCGGGGGACTGCTTCTCTCTCCTGAGCAGTATCCATGTCGTGTCTACCCGGGTAGCATGGTTTCGACCTTCTGACCTGCTGCCAGGCCCTCCCTAGTGGGCCGCGGGCACCACAGACGGCCCGTGGCTCCCAGGAGTGGTGCCAACAGATGGGATCGGTCTGATCTGGCTTGATGTGGGCTGGGCTTCTTGCGCTTATTGGCTGACCAAAGCAGGATGTGTCTGGATAAGCTAGCCTAGCTGTCACCTGGGCAGAACTGCGCAGATCCAAGAACATCCTTCCGCAGCCTTGCACCCTGAAAGCCTGGAGTTCGAGAGCCCACGTGGCTGCGAACTTGGAGCAGGACAAGGACAAACGCTTGGAAGACGCGGACGACCTCTGCCCTTCTGTGTGCTCCGAGAAGTTCAGTGTGTGCGCCGGGTCTGCCGATCTTGCGCCGGGAGCTTCGAAATTTCCTCGTGAAAGTCTCGCCAGAAGTCCGGGCAGGTACTCGGAGGCGAGCAACGTCTCCCGCTTGACCCAGCCCGGCCCTCGTCGGCACTAGCAGAACCGGCTCGGCTCGCTACGAATTCTGGGGCACTTGCGGCGTGAGCCTCCCTTCCCTGCAGGCTCTCGCGGAAGAGTCTGGCGAAGCGCTGCCTCAGCTCCAAAGAGCTCGAGGAGCTCGAGGCGGGTGGCCGTGGCGGCTCGGGGGCGCCTTGGGAGCTGGCGGACTGCCGTGGCTCCTTGGCCAGGTCATGGAGAAGCGCCGCGAAGTCAGTGCCGCTGGCCTTAGCCGAGGATTTATAGCCTGTGCAAAAGAGCCGAGATGGATCCGATAGGGGTGCAAAGCAAGTCTCTGCTCGCGACTGGTGTCGCTTGTGCTTGCAAGCATTTCCGCAGCTCAGGCAATGCTGCGCCGAAACCAAGTGAACTGCCGAAAGGTCCACCGCCTCCTTACGTTGAGTTGGTCTGCGCTTGTCCACTGTTTCGGGTTGAGCGTTTACAGGATTTCAGCTTCTTTGGGCATCTGGGCTTTGGCAAGGCTTGTCAACCAGCACCTTGCAGCCGAGAAATCACGAGAGCGAGCTTTCGCCTGTTTTGTGTGACAGTCGGTTGCTTTGTCATTTGTCCCGCAGCCCTTCCTTCAGGGACCAGGGCCTCACCTACAAGGGCGTTTAGTCATGCCCCAAAATCAGGTCAAGAGCACTAAAATTAAACAGAAGGATACAGAATGAAATACACAATATACATGCGGATGTTTTCATACAGGCACAGATGTAGCACAGTCATTTGGCGAAGCGCTCGTTAAGACGCCGAACAGCCCCTGGCCACAGCCCGCAGAGACTTCCCAAGCCAAGCTAGATTTGGCCGCATCTTGTTAGCCTTGACGCCATGGGGGAGATGCCGGAAAGATCCCCCTGGGGCGCCTTGAGCAGATATAGGGGGTGCTTCTGTTTTCGATGTGGCCGGTGGGCCATGTGAATGTGTCTTAGTCGCCAACATCGCAAGGACCCTGGACTGAGTTCGGTCGAAGCATCTGTGGGGCAGAGGAGGCAGGGGTTTCAGCTCAGCTCTCGCAAATTGCAGCGCGAAGAAATGCGACCAAGAGACCAAGCAAGGCGGTCGCTGCTACGATCGACCAGCACGGCACTCAAGCTGCTCACTCTTCTTGGGAGGCTGTTATGGGCTGTGCAGCTCCCTCTGTGCAGGATCCTCACGGATGGCGGCACACTGCTTTGGCAGAAGTATCTCGAGAGAAAGGCATTGAAATGACTTGGAATTGAAAGGCAAGAACACTTGCGCTTACTTCGCCCTCGCGTCAAGGCCTTCTCCTTCGCCTCCAATGCCATCTCTGATGCTTTGGTCAGCCGTCTGCGGATGCTCGCGTCCTAAGTTGGGGTACTCTCGTTGCGGTTCGCCAGCTGGCTCGCTTCCGAACGCGCGCACGCGTGCGCTCTCGGAGGTGCTACGTCAGCCATGATTCAGGGGAGACTGCAGTGGACGGAGCTCTAAGAGGCAGCCATGGGGCCACGAGTTTCGCTTCCTTTTGGATTCGTGCCACGTTGAGCGACTGGCAGGCCCGGAATGGAACATTGAAGATGCCAGGGCCACGGGTTGAGACTGGAGAAGTGGTCGACCACCGGCAGTTTGCGTTATGTGCCCTCAGACACTCAGAGCAGTCACCTTACTCTGTAGGCTTTGTCCAAAGTTGGAGCCCAGGAGCCGCAGCCTTGCGAGATCGACAGCTGGGCGTTCCTTGGAGTCAATGTAGAAGGGCCGTTTGTAAAAGACGTGGATGCGGACCTTTTTGTGCTGACAAGACTCCTCCCCTGACACCGGCCTAATTTGCAGCATACTTGTACGAAGTTTTAGGTTTAGGGGCGTCATGGACCTTTTCTCAACGTATCATGCAGACTCCACGCCACGAATTTCAACACAATCATCGCGCTGGAAAGCCTCGTGAACTTTTGTTGACAAAGAACTAGCAACTGCTGTCGCGACATGCTGACGTGCTGTGGTTGTGTGCGCATGCCGCTTTTCGTCGCAGAGCAGCGGTTCGCAGGCGAATGCATTTGCCGGTTCGGCGAAGTGGGAAGGCCGACGAGGAGCCCTGTGGAGCAGTGTGGAGCAGCGTGAACTGCTTGCTACTACTGGCAGCTGCTTGCAGTCTCGGGGCTTCGGTTGCGACAGGCCTCCACATCCGGGGGAAAGCTGCCGGGCAAGCCTCGACGAGGCTTCTCATTGCACAGCTGGAACAACGGATTCGCGGTTCGCACATGCTCATGTCATCCTAGCACGAAATGTCTGGCATTCTTCGTGGCCTCCAAGTCTTTGTAAGCTTGGATTTGCTTGCCAGGCCAGCTTGCGAGCTCTTCGCGCCCCAAGGTCGGCGCTGTGCAGTGAAAGCGCGTCACGGGCCAGGGTTCACGGGCTTGTCACAGTCAGGCCGCCAGTGGCCTTTCTTCTGTCAAGGAGCTTCCTGTCTGCAAAAAGAGGGATCTGTAATGATCTGTAGCGGAGAGGATCTACACTTTAGAACACGCGCTGCAGAGAGAATTCAAGCGTCTTCAGACTGAACCTGTGCATGCAGCATGCGCCGAATGCATGCTGATCCAAGGAAGGCCACCGACCAGCCTCCGAGGAGAACTGGGGCCACGAGACTGGGGGCAGTGGATGCTCGGCTACCGCCCAACTGCCCACAGGATGTTCATGCTGGAGGGCGAGAACGCTGTGGATCCTGAAGAGGAGAGGATGCGCGAGGCAGGCTGCCTCCCTTCGGTTTCAGGATCTGAAATCAGGAACGGAAAAGCATGTGGCCAGGCCAAAGCCCAAGAGGAAGCAAGGAAACGTGACAAGGAACGCCTTGCGAAGGCCGGGTGGGGGAGGGTTTTGCGGTTGCCTGGTGATTGTGTGATGGGAAGATGCGATGTCAGCCATGATCTGTCTCATTGACAGGAGTCCGAGAAGACGCAAGAGGAGGAGAGGCGGAAGGTTGGCCAAGACACGTGCTTTTTGGGGTAGATCTCGTGTTCCCACGATGCACCGCAGCTTAACGGTACCCTTGGCGCTCTCTCTTCCGTTTGCGCTGGCGCCCCTAAGACCCAGCGGAGCTGGACTGGATACGTCTATTCCCAAAGCTGAAAAAGCGAGATCACTTCCTCTCATGTTGTTTGGAATGAAAGGGCTCAAATGCGGCTTGGGAGCCGATAGATTCGCAACGCGGTTCCTCTCCTGTGAAACTGGCGATCGGTGATGTCTATCCTGTCTTATCTCTGCCCCGCTGCTCTCGTGTGTTGTACCTACCAAGTCTGGAGGCATTTACTCTTTTGACTTGGATTGCCCTGCCCTGCGTGGCTTCACACCGTTCCGAACTGGTGCATCTTTGGAGCCCACTGTAGGGGCAGCCCGCCAGGTGCAACAGCTCCACGAGGAGATGTCAAAGCGACCGCACACCTTCGACACCGAGGCCCTTCGCGAAGAAAGCTCCGCAGCTGCCGCAGTGATCTTTCGTCTGTCAGGGGAATCTCATCTGGGTCGATGAGTTGAAGCCGGAGCGTCTGCCGAAGCCCCGGCCTCAGTCTTCAGACACCGAGGCGGAAAGAGGCTGTGTTGTGCAGCTATGCCGTAGTGCAGAGAAGCTCCTGCAGTGATGCTCCAGGCTCGTGGAAGCCTTCGGCTACTCTATGAAACGTGAGCCGAAGATGCGGGTGGCCGGGCCGCAGAGACTCCGCCACCTAGGGCTCCGCTAACTTCCAGAACCTGAGAGCCCGGCTTGGCTATCAAAGACGCGCCGCGAAACTCCCCGCGAACCCAGAAGCTCCCCAAAAGCCCGACCCCGAGCCCGAGACTCGGCTTTAGACCTTTTCCAGGACGACAAGGCAGCCCTCGGCAGGGGCCACAGCCAGCTGTTTTTGGCCTTTGGGATTTTCTGTTTGGAGTTTCGGGACTCTGAGAAATTCTGCCTGGCCGTTGCAAGGAACGACCATGGCCGCCCCCAAGGCCAAGCAAAGGCCAAGGAGGCGCCAAGTGCACTGGCCGTGTGCAGTTACTTCGGCGGCTGCTGAGATGCTTCCACGACCACGACTGTCCCAATGTATGCATTCTTAGCCCCCCGGTCACTTGCCATCCTCCAGGAGCTGCTTGAAGTTGCAAAATGAGAGGACAGATGCGGACGCACGGCTGTGTATTCTCAGCAGCCCACCAGAACAAGGGCACCGTGTCTTCGTGGTGTAAATTCCGTGTTGGTGGCGTCCTAGACCGA